AAAAATGCACATATTCAAGGACCCATCTCTGGTAGCAAGAAAAGTTCATTTGTAAAGCGAGAGAGAAAAAAGTAAGATATATCTCATTCAGTAATCGATAAATCATTAACTGGAGTATGGAGACTGTAAAACATGCCTTTAACTAACAGAGTAACCCAGTTTGAGCAGTAATTATACCAAAATTTTATAAAAGATATGTAAATAGTTTGTATATAAGATAAAAAATATTTTTTCTCTGTCAATATGCTCTATTTAGCACTCCTCAAGTGGAAATGTTTTAGATTTACCAGGTTAAAATCGTAAAAAAAAATGTCCTATAAGGAACCTTTGGCTATTTGATTATTAAACAATTAATTCAAAAAACATTCAACAGATTAATCGACTTGAAAAATAATCGTAAGTCGAAGCCCTAATAGCAAGTAATGTTGACATTTTTTACATTTACTAATAGAAATTTTGCCATTTTTTTGTGTGTTGAGTAGGGCTGTAACAACAAATCGATAAAAATCGACTTTTAAAAGCGTTGGCAACGAATTTCATCATCGATTAGTTGTGTCGCGCGATTAATGCGTCATCCGCCGCCGCAGTCATCATCGCTGCCACTTGACTGAAACGGGGGAAGAAAAAAAATTACGGCAGAGCGAGCCAGCGCTGCAGGTGCGCAGTGTTGCCAACTCAGCGACTTTGTCGCTATATTTAGCGACTTTTCAGACCCCTCCAGCGACTATTTAAAAAAAAAAAAGCGACTAGCGACAAATCAGGCGACTTTTTACTGTGTCATTGGCGGCTTATGGAGACTCTTACGTGAAAGCATGTATCGTTCCTACTCTTGTCCTGCAGCAGCAGCTGCTGCCGTGAGGCGCCTCCCCCATTCCAACCCCGTTCTCCCGCAGGAATCCCTCTCAGCGCTGCAGTCAGAGCCGCAGGATGTTTCAGCGTCCAGACTGCAAATGAAGCGCGCATGCGCCGGGATTGACGGCGCAAATTGATCACAATAATTAAAATAGCCTTTATAAATAAATTAACTTGCAAATTATGAGGGCAAGGTTTTTGAAGTTTAAATCTTCTGGCAAAGATAAAGTAAAGATCCTGCAATTTATGGAAGTAAAGCAGAATAAAATCCAGCAAGAGATCAGTAATATGTCGATTAATTATATGCCACATTCCCATGTAAATATCTGTCTTTGGAGGATGTGTTTTTTAGCACCCCTAGTTCTCTCATTTTTATTCCAAATACAATTTATAATTTGAACCACAGGGCTATTTTTTATCTCTATGGTTCAGTATTTTCTCAAGTAGCAACTTTAACTGCTATACTTTCCTGTCTTAAAAGGCAGAACTCTTCTAGTCTAAAAAAAACTCATTTGATGAAATGGGGGGCCTATTGTCTGAACCCCTTAGGGGCTTTTAAAAACAAAAATGTCTTTTTTTGCGCTTTATGAAACAAAGTACCCTATATTTTGTGGATGTACAGCTACATTTCTCATGGAAGTTTGCGTAGTTTTAACACAAACATTTGTTTTTCATATTGCACCAGTACAGTTAATGAGCAACCTGTACTTGTGTGCTTGTTTGTTCTGTCTAAAATGTTTATTCTGGAATAAAGAGGTTAATATAAAAAATATTTTTTGTCCGATTCATCGATTAATCGAAAAAATAATCGGCCGATTTATCGATTTTTAAAATAATCGTTAGTTGCAGCCCTAGTGTTGAGTGTTTGAGCTCAAAATATTTCTTTAGTTGTTGAGGTTCTACGGTAGACTTGTCTATTTATTCAGTTCCATCGCTACACCTGCCTGATCCTGATGTTGGAGCAGTGGACATGCTTGGCAGTCACATCTGTCTAAAGCAAATTAGAAACAGTGCAGCCTCTTGACAATCCCAACTGGAGCAATCCTAATTCAAACTTTATTTAGAGAAGAAAAAGATAGATGCCTGAGAGAAGACATTTTTATTTCCATCAGTGCGCTAACAAACTGTGACAGCCTGCATAGAGAGATGTCTGTCTGCAGGTGAGAGTGATTCCAGTTAGGCTGGACATGAGGACTGCTCCTCAGGGGAGCTTTGCTGTACCGTCTCTGTATTAAAGTGATGGAGCCGCTGCCCAACCCGGGGCGGAGCAGCTCCATATTTTTCTGTCTTGACTTGCAGCACAACTAGTCCTATGATTTGTTTTAACGGGTAGCTGCTACTTCCCCATTGTGGGACAATAAAAGGATTTTCTATTCTATTCTTTTCAATTAAATTCTAATCTATTTTAATGCACTTTGAAGAAGCTGCATCAGCAGCCAAATTTTAAAGGAATGGGAAGTGGGGCTACATAACTAGTACTGTCATGGCAAATTGGAAGAAAATGAGAATAGGAATGTTTTTATTGACAAACTATTTTTGCGAGAAAAAAAAAGAAAATAAAAGAAAGAAAAAGAAAATATTCTTGACTACTGGTTGGAGGGATTCACAAACCAGCTGTTCAGCTGGGCCAGGATCTCATCCTCAGTGATAAGTAAGGTGGAGGATTGGTAATGTTTAGGGTGGACCTTGCAGCTGAACAGTTAAAAAACTTTTTTGATAAAAATCTGGTAGGCTCTAATAAAGAGCTTCTACTGAACAACTGAAAATGAGTCATTAAGAGAAATGGGGGGAAATGTAAAAACCATGATTAATAAACTTGACCAAAATGTTTTAAAACCAGGACAAAAAAAGGTATTTTACTTGAAGTGGGAGCACAAGAGCTTAACTTTTTATTCAGTTTTTCTTTACAGCGCTGTCAAATGCAGGAAGAGCTAAAAAATATTACTGATGATAACACATTTATGTGAACCATGCCTTGTGTTGTGCACACAGAGAACAACAGATGTGCAGGAAAGCAGGTTTCTTAATCAGTTAGATCTTCACCTCACTGCCTACTGGAATCAGGATGGGCTGGGTAATTAATCAGATATATAACTGGCTCATCCATTTACCCGAGCGCAGCAAGTCATTTTACTTTCCATCCATCCTACCTGCTTCTGCCACAGATCCCTATTTAGTCGGCCATGTCAGCCAGGCTGACCGGAGTCCCACATGCCGCCACTGTACAGCACTTTAATGTCACAGGGCCCAATAAAGCCAGCTAACGCGTCACTATCCAATGCATACCAGACCTGCATTCATGTGCAGGCTGGGTATCCTCTGGAGGAACAATTTGTCTATAACACAACTGGAGTTTGGTGGCAGACGTGGCTTACTGTCGCTATATATAGAGAGAGAGAGACAAAACTTAGAAAAAAGGCAACAGAAAGAAAGCAAAGCAAGGATCATGATCAATATTTATGTCAGATTAAATCAACAAAATAGAAATAGAATAGATAGACAAAACTATTCAGGTTTTACAATTAAAAATAAAAACAGTGGTTCTATAAAAATCTCAGTAAATCAGAGGGGCATAGGTATTTTCTAAATAGCCTTTCAAATGTATTTATATACACTCACCGGCCACTTTATTAGGTACCCCATGCTAGTAACGGGTTGGACCCCCTTTTGCCTTCAGAACTGCCTCAATTCTTCGTGGCATAGATTCAACAAGGTGCTGGAAGCATTCCTCAGGGAGTTTGGTCCATATTGACATGATGGCATCACACAGTTGCCGCAGATTTGTCGGCTGCACATCCATGATGCGAATCTCCCGTTCCACCACATCCCAAAGATGCTCTATTGGATTGAGATCTGGTGACTGTGGAGGCCATTTGAGTACAGTGAACTCATTGTCATGTTCAAGAAACCAGTCTGAGGTGATTCCAGCTTTATGACATGCCGCATTATCCTGCTGAAAGTAGCCATCAGAAGTTGGGTACATTGTGGTCATAAAGGGATGGACATGGTCAGCAACAATACTCAGGTAGGCTGTGGCATTGCAACGATGCTCAATTGGTACCAAGGGGCCCAAAGAGTGCCAAGAAAATATTCCCCACACCATGACACCACCACCACCAGCCTGAACCGTTGATACAAGGCAGGATGGATCCATGCTTTCATGTTGTAGACGCCAAATTCTGACCCTACCATCCGAATTTCGCAGCAGAAATCGAGACTCATCAGACCAGGCAACGTTTTTCCAATTTTCTATTGTCCAATTTCGATGAGCTTGTGCAAATTGTAGCCTCAGTTTCCTGTTCTTAGCTGAAAGGAGTGGCGCCCGGTGTGGTCTTCTGCTGCTGTAGCCCATCTGCCTCAAAGTTCGACGTACTGTGTGTTCAGAGATGCTCTTCTGCCCACCTTGGTTGTAACGGGTGGTTATTTGAGTCACTGTTGCCCTTCTATCAGCTCGAACCAGTCTGGCCATTCTCCTCTGACCTCTGGCATCAACAAGGCATTTCCGCCCACAGAACTGCCGCCACTGGATGTTTTTTCTTTTTCGGACCGTTCTCTGTAAACCCTAGAGATGGTTGTGCATGAAAATCCCAGTAGATCAGCAGTTTCTGAAATACTCAGACCAGCCCTTCTAGCACCAACAATCATGCCACCTTCAAAGTGACTCAAATCACCTTTCTTCCCCATACTGATGCTCGGTTTGAACTGCAGGAGATTGTCTTGACCATGTCTACATGCCTAAATGCACTGAGTTGCCGCCCTGTGATTGGCTGCTTAGAGATTAAGTGTTAACGAGCAGTTGGACAGGTGTACCTAATAAAGTGGCCGGTGAGTGTACTCTCAAAGTAACTTCTACCAGAGACCAACTACCTTCCAGCAGGACAACAACCCCGGATAAACAGCCGAGGATATAATGAATGACTTAAACCGAAGCACATCTATATGGTTAAATGATCTAGTTAAAGTTCAGACCTAAAAACAAACTATATCATATTATTTTTATTCCACTTCCCATTTATGTGCTTCTTCATGTTGATCTATGTCATTAAAACCCATTAATAAAAATCACATTTGGTGTGATAATGTGGCAAAGAGTAAAAAAAAACAGTTTAAGTGGTATAAGTACTGTAATGCTGTGTAAATATACTCACAACATGAAGTCCTGCTCCCAGCATGGCTGGTCTCCACGGACTGTGATGGTTGTACTCTTCACATTCTGGACCTTTAGTGTAACATAGGCATTGAATTTGTCTGGATCAAAGAAAGGAAAACAAATATTAGAAATATTTTATATTTGTTAAATATCGTTTACTAAACAGCACCAGACATGATACCTTTTTTGGAATCTATATCTAAGAACGTTAAATATTTACTTAAATGCTTCCAATAATTATAGATATTTTAAGGTAAATATTAATGATAATATTAATAGAAAATTGCTCATAAATACGAAAAAAACATCCCAACTCATTCCTTTTGTATGTCAAGTTAAAACCCTTGTAAATCAAATGCTCTCTATATTTATATAATTCTCTCATCCTCCCATATCTTAGTTATTGTGGGTGAATATGAATTATTATAAAACATTCAACCTAAAATTAGGCTATCAGAGTGGTCAAACATACAGAATACTTTGATCTAATACAATTCCACTCTTTATTAAATATATTTAATATTAAATGAACACAACCACATCATTTGTTTTAAGATATTCAAGACTAGAAAGATGATAAAGATAAATCGGTAATAATAAAAACAAGTGATAGTAGTCTTAAGAGCAATATGTGCTGTTGTTCTTGCCATTCTTTTTTTCCCCTCTATTTCAATTATAATTTTTTTTTATGTTTACAAAGCTGCATTTCAGCATTATGTGAAATTGGTGTTATATCATTGTCTTGCTTTTTGTGGTTTTACAGATTCCATATGAAATCTTCTCTTGCATATGCAGAAATATAGAACATAGAAGTATTGAAGTATTGAAAAAAACAGACTACAGTATATCTATAAAATGCTGAAATCCCTAATTAAAGATTGCTGTTTGCTAAAACTGTCAAAAAACTGAGTCTGAAAGATTACAGCATGTCGGTACGTCATCTTTTCTTCCAGATCAAACGTTTTTTTCTTTTTAACTTTTTTACCAAAACTACCTGCTAATGCATGTCAGTAGTGTGGTGTCAATGAGGGCTTTTAAAGACAGTGCACTTGCAGAAGCTGAGACATGAAATCAAAAAAGAAAAAAGGATGACACATGAAAAAAAAAGTCTTTCAGTTACTCTATTCTGTGTGTTATGGGGTAAGAGTTATTTCAAACCGATTGATGTTGAAAAATATGAAATAAAATTAATGCAATGAACTGCTACAAATAGGTTCAGCTGTTATTCATGTGTTTGTGCTCTGGTCTTTTATTACCAGCATGGATGTCAAAAAATATTTGGAAAGTAAAAACGTTAAAGTTGATGAGCGAATCAGGCTACAAATTTGCACCATTTACTGCAATTTTTTTTGTGAGTTCCGATGACAAAAAATAACAGTAATTTTAGTTCAATGAGAGCAAAGAAAGTGAAAATGCAATGAAATCATCCAGGTCTCGATCTATTAAATTGACCTAGCTTTCTATATGGGTCTTCCATGAGTTTTCTGCACCCAAGAATTAATTTTCCTGTCTATTGCTGAGCAGGTTAATCAGAGATAATCTATCATTCACTTCACACATTGGCAATGTTTGTGATTCCTGCCACTGACAGGTTGCAGACTCCTCAATTTAGCAAGTAAACCATACAGAGTCATGACAGGAAGCAAAAAGCAGCACATTGATAAAAACAACAAAGAGAAAAAAGTATCCAGTGTTCAGTTAAAAACCAACAGAAACATGTGAGTCGCAGACGAGCTGTGGAAGGAAGAAGGCATCCCAACGTGCAGCAGGACCTTCTTGAGAAGCATCCGGCATCATTCATAATTAAGTGGCAATGACTTATGAAAATGAATAAGTTATATTCAGTTACACATGAACGTGTGCTGCGCGGCCGGACCACATGACATTTACTGGCTTGTCTACAATAATGAATACTCTATTATGGGCACCAGTGGAGATGGGAGAGGTGAGGAAGACTGGAAGCTGAAGCAGACACGTGGGGAGAGGGGGGAGGTTTGAGATATGCAGAAGAGATAAAAATAACCAGGTCTGTTAATTGTTGAACAGCAAAAGGCCAAGATGTTCCCTGTTTCGTTACAATTTCCATTTAGCGGCATCTAATTAATATTTTACATTGAAATTTATCCAAATAAAAACAGGGTTACCCAACTTTAAAGCAAGTACCGGTCCTTCCTTTCAGAAGCTTTATTTTGATTCCACTCTGAGCAAGCAGATCAAATTCTTACAGCATCAGCATTCATAGAGTTTATTATTCTTCTGCATGACTTTCTTAATTGTCTCTGGCATGTTGGATTACAGTTGCTGAAACATTCTGGATGACAGGAACATTTTCTCGTCCTCCTAGATATTGGTGCAGATCAGGATTTACTGAACGCTGTTCCTCCTGCATGCTTTTTGAGAACAGAAGCACAGCTAACTTGTCCACTATGGCCCCTTCTTGCCAGCTACTTGTTTTCCCCTCTAGGTTTCTGCAAATGTACGAAAATTGAGCTGCTTCCAATTGAAGTTAGAATGATCTGCTGGATGATTTTTTTTTTTGGCAGATATTTGTATTTTTTATTCTTCTTTCTTGACATTTTTTATGCAATTCTAGGCACAAATCATGAAGAGGGCACGCATCACCACACCCTCCTTTTGCTACCAGTTGTTCATTTATTTTTTTTAAATTAATGTTTCTTTTTTTTTTTTTTTTTATTGAGACTTGTGTAACAGCTGTTATCACGGTGTGATTATTGTTGTGTAAATAGAAGAAGAGAAACCAGCATCAGCTTAAGAAATCAAGACAAAATAAATTGGGAGTATGTAACATGGATCAGTTAGACTGATGATGAGATCTGGCATCAGTATTGGCATTTGTCGTAGAATATCTGCACAGGTTGATTCGCCCCACTTTCACAATTTTTTGCTCTTTATTTTAATTTTCAGACCTACATTCTTTCATTCATTAATGTTTTGAAAAGTGCATTGCTTTTTTTCCACTTCAGCGCCTCACTGTGTGAATGCACTATATTCCACCTCTCACCAGCATTAAACAAGCTCTTCACTGGTGGCTACCTTGCTTTCTGCTGCACCCCTCAAGAGAAATACCTGGTGAATAGTTGTTGCTGATGAGATAAATATATATTATATATGAACATTTGTTCTTATGATTACATCAAATGAAGTCAGCTTAAATATTTGTGCATCAATTTGACATAAAATAAAGCTCTATAGCTTTATAGCTCGTTGCAGTTATGCATTATGCACTACAACATTATGCATAGCAATGTAAAAACAACCTGAATTTTATTTATTAGCATTTTTCTCTAATTCAGCAGTTGGAAACACTATGTTTTACAAATTCTCTCTTAGAGTAAATGGCATAGCTACTTCTCCATCAATCACAAAAAAGTAGTCTGGAAAATGGCCACATTGTAACTGAGTGAAATAAATTAAATACAAAGAAAATAGCAAAGAGTCATTGAGAGCAACAGTTCAGGCTGTGTCAGTGCAGGGCTTCCTCATTACAGCTATTCATTAAAGCCAGAGACTCTGGAGTGTGAACCACAGGTATGAGCACAGCTACTGACAGGTAAGGATCCACAACTAAATATAACAGATTTTCACACAGTTATGCGCCTATACTAAATTATATAACAATATGTGGTGCACAGCTTCACACTTATTAAATAAGATTCAGTCATCGGTTTTCCTTTTACAAAAAACCTCAGACTAAATTAAAGGTAATATTGATCCTAGACTCCCTGCCTTAAAATGACAAAATGCTGTTCAAGTGTGACAACTGTATAAAAACCTTATAAAGAATCAACTTAGCTAATCTGTTTAGTGAAATAATTTTTGCCAAAAATAATAGGTAACAAAACTAAATGTTTCAGGCACAGGCCATCTGCTGTTTATATGCTTTTACCACATTACAATATATTTAATCAGCAGTGCATGTCTGCATGTGATCCGTCCGTCTATCCATCCATCCATCCATCCATCCATCCATCCATCCATCCATCCATCCATCCATCCATCCATCCATCATAATTTTGATTATATTTGGGGATTCCTTTTTTTAATGGAATTCTCTCTTGGTTTTCTGCTTATTTTATTATTTAAAAAATTATCAAGTAGAAAGCTAATCTATTTATGGGTAATCTGAAAATAATTTCAGTAGTTCATCATGAACCACCAGATCTCGCTCATATTAACCAAACCAAAAACAAAGAAACCTCATGCCCTGTCAACTGAGATGTAGAATCCTCTCCCTAGAAATGTTTAATTCTCTGTGAATAAATGCTGATCTTTCTCTAATAAGAGCTACGTCACAAGGACATGCAATGATTGTATTTAAAAGCTAATGTGTCTAACAGACCTAGTGAACAATTTATTTTATTATTTGAACAAAACTATGACATATCGCTGCTGATTAGATCAGGAAATAAAACAATGTGATTGGCTCTAAGGAGAGTGGAGACAGAGGCTACTCTGAGTTTAATAAACAAAACCTGCTCCAGAACAGGATAACTCTAGGGAGAATGTTACTATGGCAACAGAAACAGAGATGGAGTAAACTCTCTTCATGAAAAGGAAAAATCAGAGTTTCCAATAATTCTGGTTTAGAAAACTTTGAGTTTTCAGTAAACCTGCTTTTTTTAAAGGACCCCTGCCATCTGTATTTTTTTCCCAACTATTTATTCACTAATGTTCTTTAAAACATTATTAGGTCTTAAAAGTACAATTTGATTTGGCATCTGTAAGAAGATAAAGTTATACTTATGGACTTTAATCTCTCAAAACCCACTGGATCGCCTGCGACTGAGAATAAAAAAAACTACTTTGAGTCGTGTTTGAACTGATGCAGCTTGCGCTGTGTTTTGCTCACCCAATTTTCATGTATATATTCAGAAACTAGAAGTTTTCAGCTTTTAAATAATGTATTGCACATGTAATTTGGGCTTACAGTTCCTCAGTTATTTGCTTTTCCATTTGGGTATGCAAAATAGGCGAGAATTTCCCAAAATGAGTTTGATATTAAGAGCTTAATTCTAAAAAGTTAACTTTTTGTATGATTCACGCAGGTTAAAGGGTCTCAGAGCAAATTCAAATTGCA